CAACAGGGCTTAATCTTACCACCTCCACTTACAATAGAAACCTCCATATCTTACTTGTTCATGTTTCTCCAAGGTCTTGTTCCTGGCCTGCGTTTTTCCCAATTCAATAGAAGTGTCTTTGAGTTTCACTTGTGAGTCATCCATTTCTATTTTCATCTGTTGCACGTCAGACTCTACCTCTTTAGACTCCTTGTCTAACTCTGTTGACAGCTTGTTGTTTTCTTCACCTGGGTGAAAGAAAAAACATTTATGAAGCAAGCAACAATGATCAATTTTCTGTGTTGTCTTGTGTCTGTTTTGGTGCACTGAAAAATAACCCCTTCATGCAGATGCATATTTAGTCCTCTCTCCATTATTTCCTCAAGTTTGTCATAAGGGGACCCTGTTTGATTTTGATTCCCCTCCCAGCAAGTTACCTGCTGTTTCTGTTCGTTTGAGATCACAACAACAAATACCATCAGAATAAGAATACGATGATAAATTTTGAGCTCAGCTATGAGTCTTGAGGATGAGACGAAGAAAAAAATTGTTTTCATGAGGAATTGACCCTCAGACATTTTTGGTTAAGCATTGAAGCGCGGAATCCAAAGGTCTTGGGCTATATCCCTGCACTTATTGGTTAGCTCTTACCAGTCTCACCTTGAGCTATTATTGTCACTTTTTTGACAATTACTCGAGAGAGGATTCTTACCGAAAACAGCGCTGCGCCATTTTGCAACAAGATCATTACACTGCCTTTCCCAGTTGTATTTTTTTTTGTAAAAGGTAAGCAGATTGGTTACTTTCTTCATGACCCGTTTTCTCGTCTTTCATCCAAGCCTGTTTTATTTTGTCGGCCCACACTGGGATCCTGGGAATCAATCACATAGATTGAACCAAATGGGATCTTGCTGAGTGCCTCTCCAAATCCCGTGTTCCGACTCACAAGGACAGGTAGGCCAGCAGATAAAGCTTCAAGCGCTGTTAGTCCAAAGCCATCCGTCCGGGAAGGCATGATCGCAAGATCCACTTCACAAAATAACCTGATAAGATCATGTTTGGTCTCAAGGAAACCTCTTACATCAAGGTTTTTGGGAGAAATACCGCACTCCAAAAACCTATCAGTAACCTGTTGAAGGTCTTCCTTGCAAGCACCGGCGAAGATAAGTATTGTGTCACTTAGCCTGGCAACCGCTTTAGCTGCGACGTCAAATCCTTTCAGTTTGAAATCTTCCTTATCTCCACGGCCAAATGTTAAAACTCGACACCTTTTGCTCTCTCTAGGTACGTGTTCTATCTCAGAGTATTCGTCAAAAATTCCAGGTATGAGAATTACAACAGGAATTTTACACCAGCCAATACAATGTTGAAATAACTCACCCAACTTTGGCCCAACTCCAACGACAAAGTCAGCCTTTTCACACAGTTCAACTTCAATTTTGTGCTTATCATCACTTCTTGCGACGGAACCCTGGTAGGATTT